TAATGTCCGGTTGTGGTTTCGTCTTGAGTATTAATGAGGTAGAGCAGCGCGGCGCTTCGTTAGGCTATGTTCATGCTCTGCGTCAGGGTGCGCCAGCGACTAGGAATGTGTGGATGTTGATTTAGCAAACGCAAGCGTATGCCAGCGACGGAAAGTATGGATATGGTCTAGCGAACGCCAGCGTTTTCGCGGGCAATTTGCTTGGGCAAAACTGCCCGCGGAAATGCTGTTGTACGCTTCGCCGGACTTACTGCATCCCTTGTAAAGGTCTATTCGATTCACGTTGATACTTTGCGGATGGGTAGAATCGAGAGATTACACGATCGAGGATTAGCTGGACACCGTTCAACTCTAGTGAGTGTGCGAATTAGGGAACCCGGAGAAGGATTTGGAAAAGATGGGAATGATCTGGAAAACGGGCGTCCCCTGAACTGTGCATTCTATGTAGTGATTCCCTAGTCGTGGGTGAGTCAACTGATACCGGCCAATTTCTTAGGATGTCATTTTCCCCCTATTCGCGTGTTCTCCACATTCACAGAGTACGAACACTTTAACTCTATCAACTCTATCTAGTCAAATATGAAACTTCAAGCCTGTACGAAAATAATCAATAAGGAAAAGTTCATTAAATGGTTTGATCGTAACAGCCTAACCGCAGCAGTGGCGATCGTGGCACTCACCCTTTACAAAATTCTTTCTGAATATTCCTTCCAGGCACGGGAAAGCGTTGGAGTTCCGATGCTTCTCCTTGGCGTGGTCTATCACTGAGGTTGTGCGGTATTCGTTCTATGCTCTTGGCCTCTTTAACGCAGTGCCATACTTCCTCACATGGATAAGGTAGAACGATTTCATTTTCACATTATTTGAGATTTTTATGTCTATGTTATCTCTTCATTTTATTTGTAACATTCTTTGTTTTGCTCAATATTCTCTAGAAAACTAATAGCGAAGCGTTCCTTTTTGTGCTCTCCAAAAACGCAAGACGGGAGTTATTTTTCATGAAGAGTATCATCATAGATCGGACCCAGTGAGATTTTGTGTAGATCAAATCTCCCCTCATTAAATTAGAACACCGGTACACTGGTTTCATAAGGGGATAGAGTGGGGCTTTTCGGACGTCATTCCGGAGGCAGGAAGCTCAAATTATGTATGAGTATGCTTTCACATAGTTATTGAGGCTGCGCTCATACTTTGCGGCAGCGTTTTGAGCGCACGCTATCGCCAGCGACTAATAAAGTATAGTACCTACCCAGCGTACGCCAAGGTATCCTAGCGAACGCCACTGTGTACCGAACAGCTGTATTTCGAATGACAAGGAAAGTATCATCGATCTGACGTACGCGAGCGTTTTCGCGGGCAATTCGAGCTTGCGCAAAATTGCCCGTGAAAACGCTGCTGTACGCTGGCGTACGCTAGATTGATACTTTCCGCTCGCGCTCGTGTCAGTTCGAAACAGTGCCGACGCTGACGCAAAGTTTAACGCAGCCTAAGCCCGAAGATCTTTGCAAGATTGTGTTTCTATTTTTTCATTTTTCATATTTTGCATGCTACAAGTGTGCAAAGGGGGCGTAGGCGACGATTTTTCTCCCATGGCTCTGATTGGCTCAAACTCCACAAATGTTCATGTGAGTACTCTTGAAG